GCAACTGAGAAGAATTGGACTTATACCTTCAAATACAGAAAAATATTAACGGATTAAGACAGAAGTAACATCAGGATTTTAGGTTAAACATTATATGAATGTAATGAATATTTTAGGTGCTGTATTTAGTTTTTTTATTCTTTTAAACTTGTTGCAGTTCATTTAAGAATTCCTGCAGTGACAAATAACATGTATACTAATGTTCAAAAGTTTGGAGTCAGTGAAATATAATTTTATTGTTTTTGAAAGAAATCTCTTATGCTCATAACGGCTGCGTTTATTTGATCAAAATACAGTAAAAACAGTAATATTTTGAAATATTACTACAATAACAGTTAAATGCAATATTAAAATAACCTTTTTCTCTTTTAATATATTTTAAGATATAATTTATTCCTGTGATGCAAAGCTGAATTTTCAGCATCATTACTCCAGTCTTCAGTGTCACATGATCCTTCAGCAATCATTCTAATATGCTGATTTGCTGCACAAGAAAAATATTATCAATTACCAACTATCAATTTTTTAGCAAACTCTGATACTTTTTTCAGTATTCTTTGATGAATAGAAAGTTGAAAAGAATATAATTTTTGAAACAAATATTTTGCAACATTATAAGTCTTTGCTGTCACTTTTGATCATCTTTATGCATCCTAGCTGAATGAAAGTATTATTTCTTTAAAAAAAAACTCTTATTGACTCTTACTTTTGAACAGTAGTCTCTCAGATTTCATGAGTAATTACACAGATTTACAAAAACATTTGTTTAAATAATTTTAGATGAAGTATAGCATATCACACCACTGTAACTATTTCACTTTTCACGTTAACTACCCATAAAAGTGTACATATTTTGTTTGTGTGTGCGCTGTGCTGTATTTAATTACCTTTCGAGTATTTGTGACACTTGCCAGTGAAAATGTACAAGGACCAGTTTGGCTACAGCTGGTGACACCTGAGGGAGAAAAAATATCTCTGTAGTCTGTACTGACAGACTAAACTCCATGAACTGTCTGAACAATTTATAGTTTGGAAAGATACATAAATACACAGCTAAATATTGTCAGCCAAGAATAAATCTGCTAAACATTGTCACTCATTTGGTCCCTCACCTTTAGGGCACTGGCTACATTGTTGAATTCCTCAGTTAGTACCCTCTGGCTCTCCCTGTATGTCAAGCAATTGAACTGGTATTCTTCCGGGTCAAACGGTTCTTCTATCGCCACGTCATCATCAAGTCCATCATAATAATCAGGGATGTCGCCCTCGACGATGTCTTCGTCATCTTCGAATTCTTCGTTACTGTCTGAGGCTTGGCTACTCATATCCACAGACATAGCCCTCTGGGCCGACCTTTTCCTGACTGACAGCTGCTCTCCACTAATCAACAGCTACTGAGCTGCTCCTCTCCGCCCCCAACTGGACCGAGAATCCCAGGAGGCCCTGTGGCTTTTAGCAGCACCGAAAAAAACAGAAGAAATCACACTCCCCGTCACTCATGAGGAACCGGAGCAAGGGATGAGCTCAGACAGAGAAAAAATACTGAAAGAGAGAAGAAAAACACATTATTTGGCATCTGTCATTTATATGTGGCCAGACTGTGTATTTCATGATTTTAAAAGATATTTAATCTAAAAGCTTATGCTCAAAATTAGTTATGTTGACAAATATAAATTGTCTATAAATTACTCTACAAAGCTACAATTCTTATTTTCTATTTTTAAATGGATTTAAATTGCACCATCATGAAGGAATTTATTTTAAGATGATGACCATCTGACTCTACCTTTCACTACTTATTACACAGCTCCTTAATAAATATATGAATAGACATAAAATATTGATTTGAGTTGAAATGATTACACTATGTGAGAAGAAAGAGGCCGTAGAGCGCACAGGAACACTGAACTCAATCTCCAACATAAGTCCTGGTATTATTGGAATTTATTATGCAATAATAACCATCTGATTTTACATTATCTGTGTGATTATAACAGATAATAATATAATATAATCGGTAGAATCATAATGTTATTATACAACTACTTAAATACATGAAAATGAAATATCGATTAAAGTTATTTTGATAGTTTACTTAATACTTACATTATTCCTCATCAGTTGAATCCTGTGATCGACCAATCAAAATCAAATATTCCCCTTTGCTATGCGATAGAGTGCAACAGTACCCGACCAATTTTTTAAAGATCCTAAAGTCATTTTTCCCCATTCATTTTTTCTAACAGGGATTTTTAAAAAGTCTTCATTAAAGAGATAACTACAAAATACCTACTTTGCAAACTTGTCGGACACAAAAAAGTATTTAAAAATGGGACAGAAAGACAAAGGTACAAGACTGTTTACCTAATGGCTTTAATGAGAGAAAGAACTACAATTCCATGAAACACTGCAAATCAATCAAATTAAAAAAAGAAAAAAATACATAATTTGTAAATGTAATGAAACAATATATTTTGTGTTTATAGGTAAATGTTCTTTTGGAACTTGTGAAGAGTCTCTGATTGGTGGAGATTCTTCATAGAATCACAGGTAATGTAGTTTTTCATCAGGAATTCTACTGTTCTATTTAAATAATGCGGCCTGACGGCTTCAACAAAACAGTATACTATTGATTAACAACCTCACAGCAGGTCTGTCTTTAAAGATTTATTATTCAATTGTTCAAAATTAATTCTCTCTAGAAGAAACTTAATGGGATTTTATTTCAGGTCTGTTGCACTCTATAATAATAATAAGTGGGCAGCTGTGTTCAAACTCTTTATTGGTAGTTTATTTCCAGACAGAACATAGACGGTGAAAGCGGCCTTGCTAGTGTACTTAACTTCAATGACACTCGCTGAGCTTGTCCCACTGGTCAAGGAGCTGCTCCAGTCCAGTATTTACAGATCAACACACCTTGGAAACTCTCTGAAGGTAGTACTTGTAGATGTTTGTCTCAGTATTACCAGCGGCCAAGCATCTCTTTGAGCGTAAGACAATCATAACCTCACATGCAGAGCGGTTTAGCGTTCCGTTTTAACGGATTACACGGTGTACCCTGCCAGATTATGCACCCCCTAGTATTGGTAGGTTTAGGAGTAGGTGTGGGGGAGGGGTTAGGATTAGGCAATCAGGTAGCGACTTCAACGAGGGGGTGCATAATCTGGCAGGGGTGCCGCGTGACCGCACACCAGACGATCACAGAGATCAGAGCTCCTGCTGGTTGTGATGACAGTCACCGATTCAATCGAATAAACCATCAGTGCACGTTAAATTCCCGTCCGGTTCGGACCCCCACAGTCATGGGACGACCTGAAGGTCCAACGTGTTCGCGCACCGTCTATCCCTAGCATTCCAGCCAGGGCTATAAATAGAGCGCGACACCCATGCATAATATCACGCTCAGATGGGTTACGGATCATGGTTTAAGTGCGTAGGGGTTGAGCAATGACTGCAAACTCACTGTACTGACGGTGCTGGTTCTGCTTGGTTTACTCCGTATGAATCGGGCCGCACCAGCTGTTGCTCCTCTCTAACGTTAGATCAGCACATATATACAGCAGCGCGATCGATGCGCAGAGTACCTCTCTCTCCCGCTTTATCCCTCGGAACATCTATTGTTTCACTACGCATATCCCGCAGTTTAAAGTTGCACATAGTCCAATTAAACTTGTTTAAGTGAATGCACGGGTCGTCTGATGTCGCTTTAAGGGCTTTATTTGCAATCATCCGCCAGCGCGCACTCCAGCTCGGGGATTCGTATGTAAACAAGGCCGTTTTGGTTCGCTCGCCAAAGCCGCTGCTCTGATCGTTTAAAGCCCTCCGTCGTACCCAACATACGACTCTACTCACCTGCCGGACCGTGTCGGGCCGCCACTCGAGAGATATTGGGACAAAGATCCGATCCGTTCGCTTAGATGAGTCGCAGCAGAGCTGAAGATCGGAAGTACGGGGGGGATTCTAGAGCGGCGTCACTTCCGTGTCCGAGCGCGAGGCTGTTTTCAACAGTGAACGCCTGAACGGACTTCTGTGAGTGAGGAGGGGCCACACGAACGCTTAATACTCAAAACTGACGTACATACTTGTAGTCAAACACACACATGCGCGCACGCTCGTGCAAATGTAGGTCAACAAAACAAGAAACCTGATTTACTGTGTGCAACGCAGGTACGGAGGCAAACAGAGAAAAGCGCCCTCATTACAAGTTCATAGTCTAAAGACCTGCCTGCTTTGTTAATAAAGATAAAACAAAAACAGAATATAAAGTAAAAATGTAAATGTGTTATTTAGTGTACTTCAGACAGTAGTTAAGAAAAATAACTTGTAGCACATATATGTATTTAAAGTCAAAGTGCCTATTGGATGTGCACTACACGCATATTTTAATATGGAGATTCTTTGCTATGATGGAATTAAAGCTTATTTTTAATATACAAAAAAAGGATGCACTCTTTAATATGACCTGATCAAAGATGTAATTCAAAACAGTACTCTTTCTGTAATATCTTTGTCAGAAAAAGACAAAGCATGTCTGCTACAATGAATGTACTCAAACTTCCTGTTTCAATAGGAAATGTCAATGCAGGAAATAAACTGCTTGGGTATTTAATGCTTTGCTGGCATTTTTAAAACCCATTTTTTTGTTTTGTTTTGTAAATGCATGTTTTAGATCTTCTGTCAGTGATTCAAAATCCCAATCAACAATTGCTGGATAGATCCAGAACCAGCCCAGTACATCACAATTTGGATGAGAAGATTTATCATTCTTTCTCTTTAATTGCAACTTTAATATTATTCACTAAAGTTGCGCAAAACTTTAAGACAATTTAAAAATCGTAAATTATTTGCTGCTGTTTTCCAATTAATAGTCAAAAGTACTTTTCTGTGCACCACCAGAACTCCAGGTGCCACTTACAAAGAGTGAAAGACTTTTTGGAACTCATAATTCACAGACACAAAAACTCCAACATACCAGTTGTTTATTTGCATGTTTTTTTTTCAATAGCATGTTCTATAAAAATATGTATTTTGATACAAAGACAAATGTACAGTCCGGAAAGATAATGAAACAAATGCTTGACATTTTCAAAATTCCCTGCATATGCAGCTATTGCAGTTATAAAAGGTTGGGGGTAGTGATGTAGATCTAACAGATACACAGACAATACATGCTTATTAATGTAGAAAAGCATTTAAAAGGAGGATAAGGTATGTGAAATAATAAAGGGCCGATTTAGTCAAACTTTTTCAAAAGGGAAGAGATTTTTCTCCTCTCCACGTTTCTCTCGTTTAGTTACACGCCTTATGATCTTTTCCTCTTGCTCCTCTTGCCTGTTCTGCGGCCATGAACTAGTCAGAGAGGGTGGAGCTGTCTGAGCCCCGCCCTCTTCTTCCTCATCTGAGGACAGTCCTTCAGCCCCACCTTCTTTTTCTTGCTTAAGCCCCGCCCCTGATGCCAGCCCCTGCTGCCCATAGCGACGCTTCAGCCTCTCTTTTATCAACAGGCCTTTGACCAGTAGTGTCCAGTTAGCCACCACACGCTTCTCACGTTTCTGTTAAAAGATTCAACCATAATATTTCCAAAACACAAATTGTTCACTCTAAAATCAAAAGTACTATTTCCTAGACAAAATATTTCTTCAGTGTTAGGTAAAGTTGACACATTTTTGTAACACTAGAGCGTTTTAGATGGTGATGCTGTTGTGAAAGACAACATAACTTACAAAGAAAGAACTTCAAAAAAATCCACACACCTCTTGTTCTTTCTTTTGCTGGATATCTTGCTCGTTTTCCCAGGCTGCTTTCAGGATTTCTTGGTGTTCTTCACAGACAATATAGCCATCGTTACTGAAATATATTGAGCCAATTCAATTACAGATTTGACAGAAAACACCTTCATACATTTATATGCACATTATTTATGCACATTATACTCTTGTTTTATTTACCATGTATGAAATGAATGGAACAAGCACTGGCCATTTCTTACAGAATGAGAAACACTGAGGGGCCATTTACACGACAACGTTTTCAGGCGGGAAACTTGTTATGCGTTTTCCCTGTTCGTTTACACGACAATGGCGTTTTGGGGACTGAAAAGGCATATTTTTAAAAACGGGTTTCAAAGTGCAAGTTTTTGAAAACGCCACCGTAATCGTTTCCGTGTGAACACCCAAAACGTGAATCTTTGAAAACGATGGCATCATGCGCGTGCGTAGTACGTGTTAGGCATGTAGACATGCGCAGTACGTGTCGATTTTAAAGGGGTCCTATTATGCTTTTTCACTTTTTTAATTTTAGTCAGTGTGTATGTTTGGGCATAAAAAAGATCTAGAAAGTTACAAATCTCAAAGTCCACTACAAAGGGAGATATTTCGTTTTTTAAAAATCCCTTTTCAAGAACTACAGCGAACGGCTCGTTTGGACTACAGAGTTTGTTTTCCGGGCTTTGTGATATCACAAAGCAGCTCATTGGAATATCACTACAAATAATTCCCACCTACAGAAATTCTAATGGTTGGGGGGTGAGGAGGGGCGAGGTTGTGGTTAGAATGCTTGGTTGAGTGAGTGCATCAGATGAGATGACGAAGAAGAAGTGCTGCTGCAGAGTTAGTGCATCAGAGAAAATGAAGAAGAGGAGCTGCTCTGCTGTAGCGTCAAATTTTCGGCATTTCAAGAACAATTCTTACAAGTACAACACGACGTAGCTGGGCACCGCGGACAGACGCCGCCGGTGTGCCTACTCATAGAAAATAATGCATTTGAATTTTAAAGACGTGGCGCGACGTGATGCTTCTCGTCCGGTGCGCGACCGCCTGAAATGCTGTTTTTTTCACCCCCGTGCCCAAACGTCTTTGTTTGGGCTTCCATATAATCGTCACTTCCCTACAGGTACTGTTTACTAACAAGGTGACAGTGCCAACTACTGGCCTGGCATATGTAATACAGCGTTTTTGGCCGTTTTCACGGATATGTATAAACGCAAATCGTTTTGAAAACGTTATCGTGCATACGTGAAACTTTAAAGGGAAAAACTTTTCCGTTTTTGACTACATCGTTGTCGTGTAAACGTAGCCTGAATGTGAAACTACTGTGGAATGTGACAGTCATGGCTGGACAAAATATGTACGTGGAAAAAAAAAGATAGCTTTCATTGTATTCCACCAGGTTAGGACATGTTATTACAAACACATGAAGGCACTCAAACTTACACTGCATGTGCAAATCCACAATGGTAATCAAAACCCGTCACTGCTACAGCACAGTCTATGTTCAGTTTTCGAGCCACTCTGTGCAGATTAGGCAAATGCAGGTGAACACATCCTACTGGTAACATGCATGACTTAAACATGTACACGTTCCCGAACTCATTACGTGGTACCTGAAACATACAACCACATATAAATTCAGATCAGCACTCCAGGAAATATGCAAATATGTTTATTAACTTTAACTTTATTAAGATAATTTGAACTCACTTTGCCATCAATGGAGATCGGAGGCTGGTACTCTTCAGTTTGCCAGACTCCAAAAAGAGGCAGATCTTTGACATCTTTCTGCTCGGAAATCATCCTGGCTTTACGAGAACGGTTGGAAAAACCAAGCACCATCTGACAGACATTAGCTTAAAAAAATTAGCTTTAAAAGAAGTCGTCATTTATTGTAAAAAGGTCAAATACACATGAAAAAAAGGAAAAAACACATTAAATTATGACCAGAACAGACCTTGTACGGCTCCTCTCCCAGTCGAACGGTTCTTGCTTCCTTCAGCCAGGTATCTCTAGAATGGAGCGTGTGCACACAGTCTCTGAAAATAAATGAACATCATAAACACAAATGGCCTGCATTTGTATTTGTTGTAGCATCTCAGATTTGAGGATTGTTTTTTATTGTATTGGAAAAATTTGTTTTCTGTAATTTAAATAATGCTGAAATAAAATAAAATATAAATATTGGATCAAATTAATTAAGATTAATATTAAAAATGACAAAAAATATCACTAAACTAAAATAAAAATGTAAACGAAACTCAAAATATAAAAATGTTCAATAAAAATAAAATATAATTCAAAATATTGATAAATAATATGATAGTATATAAATAATACTAAAATAACACTGACTTAGTTCATCTTTAAAAATACTATAAAAATAATATAATAACTGTTAATGTAACCTTTAGCAAATCCCAAATGCAATATCCATTTTATACATGCATTATAGCATTGTGATGCCTAAATTCCCTTAAACCATTTAAAATGTTTTATTTTAGATTTGTTTAGACAAAATAGAATAGAATTTAATATCAGCCATTTACTGGTTTTTGATCATAACATGAAAATAATTAGTGATTTATCTGCAATAATATATTTTCTAATTCAAACAGTATGTTTTTGTAAAGCAGATTTACATAGGAATATTCATCCATCTTTCATGCTGTACATTATAAGGTTGTGATGCCATATATTCACTTGTAGCATACAAACTATATAGAGTTTACCGTGAATAGACTGGCTCTCCTCTGCAGTAACCCAGGACAGCGGCAGTAGAGGGGTAGATGGCCTCGTATTTTAGCAGGTGCCTCTTTAGTGCATACAGTGGATGGTTCTTGTATTCTGAGATGGATGTCGGCAAAGGCTTGTCCAATAACTTTGCCTGCATCTGTGGATGAGGAGCACAGGTGAGTCATGCACGCCACGTGTGATGTAGATACGTTAGTGTGTACACTACCATTCATGAAAGACGTCTCTTATGGTCACCAAGGCTGCATTTATTTGATTTATTTAAAAGAAAATATATTTATTTGAAAAATACAGTAAAAATAGTGATATTGTGAAATATATTTACAATTTAAAATAACTGTTTTCAATTTCAGTATGTTTAAAAATGCAATTTATTCCTTTGAGGGCAAAGCTGAATTTTTAGCAGCCATGAATCTGGTCTTCAGTGCCACATGATCCTCCAGAAATCATTCTAACATACTGATTTGGTGCTCTAAACATTTCTTACTATTATCAATGCTAAAAACAGTCATGCTGATTACAATTTTTGTGATAACTTTGATATATTATATAAATCCAGAACGCTGCTGCCAGGATTCTGACTAGAACCAGAAAATCTGAGCATATCACACCAGTCCTCAGGTCCTTACACTGGCTTCCAGTTATATTTGGGATTGCTTTTAAAGTACTTTTACTCGTTTATAAATCACTCAATGGCCTAGGACCTAAATACATAGCAGATATGCTCACTGAATATAAACCTAACAGACCACTCAGATCATTAGGATCGAGTCAGTTAGAAATACCAAGGGTTCACACAAAACAAGGGGAATCTGCTTTTAGCTATTTTGCCACCCGCAGTTGGAATCAGCTTCAGCTAAAACATTAGTCACATTCAAATCTAGACTCAAAACTCATCTGTTTAGCTGTGCATTTATTGAATGAGCACTGTGCGATGTCCGAACTGATTGCACTGTATTTCATGTATGTATAATCATTTTCTATTTTGAACTGTTTTAAATTCATTTTAAATAAGTTTTTAAGTTCCCTGTTTTATTGTTGTGATTTTTTTATGATTATCTTACTTCCTTTCATGTAAAGCACTTTGAATTACCATTGTGTACGAAATGTGCTATATAAATAAACTTGCCTTGCCTATATTGTTTAGGATTCTTTGATGAATAAAAAGCTAAAAATATATATATTTTTGTGACATGGACAGTCTTTTTTCCCACTTTTGATCAATGTAATGTGTCCTTCCTGAATAAAAGTATTCATTTCTTCAAAAAAATCTTTCTGACTCCAAACTTATGAACAGAAGTGTATGTTCACACATACCTCCTGATTCTCCTTCTGTCCTCTTTCAGTATCTGGAGACTTGTAGAGCTCCATAGTCTCCTCCCACCATTCTGAATCGACCCGTCTTCGGCGTGATGATGTCAGCCACGTGGGGTCATACCTGCTGCTAAGATCTTTCAGGTACCCTTCGTCATCAACAGCCACCACGTACGTGATCGGTTGAGTCGCCTGATTGGAGCAGAGCTGCGGCTGGCCAACACCTTGATCCACATCAACACACACCCACTTCCCCGTACTTTCCAAATAAACCTCCAACCACTCATCCGCCCCTTTCCCCTCCTTTCTTTTACGTCGTTGTTTCTTCACCTGCTTCTCTTCCTCCTCTTCTTCCTCTTCGCTCTCCTCCTCCTGTTTGACCTCGCTAGACCTCCGAGGAGCCTGACCTTTTCCTTTCACCTTCGACTTTCTGCATACTTTCATGGCCCCGTCAGAGTCTTCACTGTCGTCCTCATTGGTTGGTTGAAACTCTTCCTCACTCTGCTCCTCCTCCTCCTCGCTACTGACTTCTTTGTATGACACTTTTGAAGCTACACTTCTTCTGCTGCTGTTTTTGGGTTTCTGTCCCCCTGCTGCCTCTTTCTCTCCTCCTTCCTCTTTCTTTTTCTTTCTCTTTCCACCTCTTTGCTCTTTTACTGCAGCATTATGGGCTGATGATGGGCGTTTGGTTCCAGGAGATATCTTGGGCTCCGGAGAGGGTTTCTCAGACTGATCTTTTTCTGGAGAGCTCTTGGTAGGTGTGGTCTTGTTCTAAAAACAATAAACATGCTCAGGCCATCAAAACTACAAATAGGTACACAAGAAAAAGTAATATAATAATAATCCAAAGTCACCTTGCTGGCAGGTGGTGGCTTCAGAGGAAGGGGTTGCAGTGACAGAACCAATCGACAGAAGAGTCGCAATGACCGCAACACCAATAAGAACAGCTACAGGAAGTGACATCGCAGATCAGAACCAAACTTAGTTGACAAACGTTACACTTCCATTCAAAATAAATAAATACTTTTATTCAGCAAATGGTTACTGAATAAATTACAAATTACTGTTGAGAAATTTTTATAATGAATTTTTTGAATTTTTGAAAGTTCTTTTGAACTTTCTATTCGTCAAAGAGTCCTGGAAAAACTACATCTTAAAATATACTAGTCAATATTTGAAGTGGATCAAAACCTTTCATCAAAGTTGTCCTAAAACCAAAATGTGTTCTTGTCTTAGGACAACTTTGATTAACTTTTTTGATCTACTTCAAATGTTGACCACTGTAACAATAAATTGTAACAATGTTTCAAATGTTATATACAGTATATGCAGCCTTTGTGATCTGCTATGAGGTCAAAGTAAGTGAGATCTCCCTCACATTGGTCATCTCCTCATGGTCCCTTGCTGATAAACAGCCAATTCGGTTTTCCAGCACCGTGCTCAACTCCACCCCCTTCTTCTCAGGTAAGGCAGAGTTTAATGTGAATGTCATTTGAAACCTGGGCAGGGTCACGCCACAAAAAAATTATCATCAAGAGATTATCAATACACTATTTGCATACAGCACAGGAATAGTTGATTGAATAGTTGACTTTTGTTGAGACATTTTTGTGGTGTTTAAATTGTGAACCTCCCGTATCGGGACCCTCATATGGTTCCAAACCTATATGATGCTTTTTTTTTTTCCTTTGGAACACAAAAGAAGATATTTTGAAGAACATTGGTAACCAAACAACACTGAAGCCCACTGACTTCCATTTCATTGACATATAACGAGACATTTCTCACAATATCTTCTTTTATATTCCACAGAAGAAAAATATCATATACTTTTGGAACAGCATGAGGATAAGTAAATATTGACAATTTTTAATTTTGGGTGGAAGATCTCATTAACAGAACAAGTGGAATACATTCAAGAAGACAAATTTAGGCGTACCATTTGAGAAGCCCCTCCAGGAAGCCACTGTTTATGCGTTTTGTGGCGACTGTGGTAAAGTGGGCAGGCAGTATTGACAAAGCAACAGCCAACAGGTCAGGCTCACAGCACAGTCTGCTTCGGAATAAACCACCGGCCAACAAGCAAAGAAGGTGGACCTGTTTAACAGAGTAAATATAAAAAAATTAAACTAAGATCGAAGAATACTACATATTATTGCAATAAACACAGATAGAATATATTGTTAGATATTGTTATACACTATATTATTTAAATGTTTGGTCAGTAAGATAGAAATTCATAATTTTATTCAGAAAATTTGGTAATTCAAAATATTGGCAGTAAAGACTTTACATGACGAAAAAGCTATTTCAAATAAATGCTGTTCTTTTGAACTTTCTATTAATCAAAGGATCCTGAAAACGTATAACAGTTTTCACAAAAATATCAAAGAGCACAGCTGTTTTTAACAAAATAATAAAGAATGCTTAATTTCTGAAGGATCATGTGACACTGAAGACTGGAGTAATGGCTGCTTTGCCATCACAGGAGTAAATTACATTTTATAATTTGTAAAAAAAAAAAAAGAAAAAAAAAAAGTGTTATTTGTGTGTGTGTGTGTGTGTGTGTGTGTATATATATTTCAATTAAATGAAACCTTGGTGAGCATAAAAGACTTCTAAAAACTTTTACCGACCCCAAATCTTTGAATATCAGTATGTATATATTTAGTTGATTTAGCTGGAAATAAAAACTACAACAGAAACACACAGACACATACCTTGTGGGTATCCACCAGCAGTTCCTTGTTAAATCGTTTCATCATTCGACGAAGGTAAGTTTCAAACTCTGCTTTCCTTTTCTCCCTGGAACCAGAAAAAGATTTTCCTTTTTATCTGTCTGACCATCACCGCTCCTCTCGTGAATGCGACTGCAACTATCTTGCGGGCATTTACCACATTAAAGAATTTCATCACTCGGCAATCTGCCCCTCGTTAAACTCTCTATCACAAACACTCACTTCCTCTGTCTCTTGCGAACCATGTCTGGAGTCTCGATCTCAATCTCCACAGGTTTTGACGCAACTGCTAGGTCAGTCGAGTCAACAGGACCCAGCGGTTCTGCCATTTCTGAGAAAGCACACAGTTCAAACCAGTCACACCGTCAGTGTAAAAGACATGACAGCATAGAGGACAGTTACTCACTTGTGATAAACGTATACAATCTAAACACATGTCTGATTACTAATGATTCACAAAAAACACTATGTACCTTCCACTTCCTCCCAGTCCTCCTCATCCTCACTCTCTTCCTCGTCTTCTTTGACTTGTTTTGATGGTGATGAGAGCTCACTGAGCATGGGGCTCATCTCCTCACTGTGGTCACTCATTTCCTCTGGCTCTTCGGTTTTCACTTCACTGTCCTGGAAGTACTTGCTTGTTCTCTCATCAGAGGAATCTCTGACCTTTCTGGACACACGAGATGCCACCCTGGAGTTTTTGCGGTTGTTTTTGTCCACCATACTATTTTCTGAAACAAACAAACAGGTCATGGATCACAGCATAATAAAGATGTACTAGAGTGCAGACAGCAGATCATTCACTTATGTAGAATAATTACTCTTTCATTATTAAAATTAACAACATAATTTTTTTCAATTGACAGTTTTCAACAGTTTGAAATAAATCTCTATATAGTTTTGTGGAAAATGAAAATAATCTGCCCATCGTTGCAATGTCAAGAATAATTTATACATGTACCGCATTATGTGCTGGCACCTTTTGCTTGCAAAAAATTTGCATAAACATTGAATAACATCAATATATATATATATATATGTTTATATAAAATATTAAAGGGGTCATATGATGCTGCTAAAAAGAACATTATTTTGTGTATTTGGTGTAATGAAATGTGTTTATGCAGTTTAAAGTAAAAAAAAAAAACGCATTATTTTCCACATACTGTACATTATTGTTTCTCCTCTATGCCCCGCCTTTTTGAAACGCGTCGATTTTTACAAACATCGGTCTGAAAAAGCGAGGTGTGCTCTGATTGGCCAGTTATCCAGTGCGTTGTGATTGGCCGAATAAAACAAAGTAGTTTCGCTTTCACAACGAAACACACAGCGGCCTAGCGTGAGCAAAAGCCCTGGCTTAGCGTGAGCTGAAGCCGGGCAAGAGTGACCTGAGGCGGCGGGGTCGAGAACGGCGGTCCCGGCGAAGGAGCGGTGAAAACGGTGAAAGCCGATCCGGCGATCCACAGCACTAAGTTGATGTATTTCCTCAGCGACCAGCACGGATCAGCTCCAGGCATGACGAAGCGGATATTGTCCTCTTTTGGAAGACCAAACAAAGTAGTTTCGCTTTCACAACGAAACACACAGCGTCTTCAGGACATGGCGGCAGCGGCAACAACAATACTACAGCGAGAATAAAAGTTACGCCTTCTTTCTTTGCGTGAACATTTGGGTGGCGTTATGCAAATCTTCCCACATCGTGAGGTAGATATGTGGGGGTGTGTTCGAACGAGCCGTTTTAGGGAGTTGTGGCTGACTCTTAACTTTTATAAAGAATATCTCTTTGGATTTGAGACTTTAGTCTTTGCAACTTTAATGAGTGACGTGACATGTGGCCAAGTATGGTGACCTCAGTCGTGGTATTGAAGGTGGAGAGAGCGCTGTACATTCACTCCCCCCACCTACAATCCCTGCCGGTACGAGACTCGAACCCACAACCTTTGGGTTATGAGTCCGACTCTCTAACCATTAGGCCACGACTTACAGATCTTCTTTATGCACCAAGAGCTTGTAACACTCCAAAGAGAAAGGAAAAAATGAAATCGCATCATATGATTTCATTTTTTAAATAAAAAATATTAAAGTATTATATATGTATACATAATATTTATCTAATTTGTATCTGTGTTATAGTTAACTAAAACTAAACCACAAAAACAAAACATTTACTTGAAATAATATAAACACTGACTGGAAAAAAAAATCTCCTGGCTAGTTGAAAGGCAATATTTCTCAGTTTAATTAAGTTTAACTTGATGTACTAAAATAACTAAAACTAAAATAAAAACTACATGCATTTTTGTTTAAAACTACTAGCCACTACAGCTACTTAAAAAGACACAACAAAATTCGAAAATATACAATGAAAATAGATGTTTAAAATGAAAAACTGATTCAAAATGTTAAGAAAAACTGTAATAGTATATCATGATACTAAAGGAACACTGCTATACAATATATATGTAACACTTTTTATTTTCTTTGGCTTTAGAATAATGACAAAAATATACAGTGGGTAGGGAAAGTATTCAGACCCCCTTAAATTTTTCACTCTGTTATATTGCAGCCATTTGCTAAAATCATTTAAATTAAATTTTTTTTCCTCATTAATGTACACACAGCACCCCATATTGACAGAAAAACACAGAATTGTTGACATTTTTGCAGATTTATTAAAAAAGAAAAACTGAAATATCACATGGTCCTAAGTATTCAGACCCTTTGCTCAGTATTTAGTAGAAGCACCCTTTTGATTTCAGGAAAGGGTCTGTCACAATAGGAACAACGTTTTGGGGGGGGTCGTTCATTAAAAAGTCTTCAGATCTCTGGGTCAGAGTACTCAAATCCACCCTCAAGTACCCAAAACACACATATGATCCCAAATATGTACTGAACATGCCCGCACACACTCATGTCATACATTGATGACACTGAACTGAAACAATGAACTGAAGAGGGGCTGTTTTCATTTAAGTGCACCAGTTAATAACAAGCTACACAAGAGAACTCAAGCGAGAGTCTCTGCACACCTGCACACTGCAGCTGTCTGCAGCAACTGTGCGCTACATTCTGACTATTAGTTCATTCATTTACCTGTTTAACTGCAAAGCTGCATTTGAACTCAGCGACTGGTTTTGATTCTAGGTTTGAGCATAAGCCAGACAAAGTAACGTTACATTTTTTTTGCAGCATAGATACCTTTGGTTTTTCGTGTTTTGGATGCTGGTCTGTTCTTTGCAATCTGCTTCGGTTTCTTTGTGTCAGTTTTCTGCTGTGTCTCTTTTCTCTTTGCCATTCTGTTGCTGTTGAGAGATCGCGGGTAGTTTCAGGATAAATGAACTCTGGTGTATTCAGAGAAACAGAGAGATCTGCAATCACTACACGTCAACGTATGTAATGTAACCTAAAGACCACTGTTACCCAACACAATCACTTCCCACCTTTCATAACACTGAAAAGCGTGCACTTTGCCTGCAGGAGAGCTGAACATACGTCATATCCGCCTGTACTATTGCGTTGACTGGGTAATGTGATGAATTAAACGCAAGGAGGCGTTGTCGCACACGCTTCTTTTGCTGTTATAGCAAGGTGATAATCATCATATATATTATTATATTATGTTATATTATATATTTAGGTTGATAACGATAATATATTGCCTAGTTCTGACTACACCAATAATTCAGCTAAATATGATAATTGTTTATTATTGTAATTAGGATTAGCTTGAACTAATATTTGGGTAATAGTAATTATCATTTATATTTAAACATGTAGGTGTGTATAAGTGGATAATAATAACTGTCATGCAAAATGACTCATTATCATGTACTGTAATGTGAAAAATAATAACCTGTATTTTATGCTAACTTTAATAAAAAGGTTGTTGCACTACAGTAATAAGAATATATCACTTTTGAGAATGTAAATTACAAGTACATTTGGAAGTAAAACATTTGGACATATTACAATAGATATTTTGTGGAAAAATGTGCCTGTTATAAAATAATTGCAAAAGATCTTAATGATCCTCTAAATATGTTTCATTTTCTTAAAATATATCTTCCTTTGATTTCAAACATATTTTAAATAAAAAAAAAAACATTATTTTCTACTCAAAGCTTTTTTTTTCATTATATTAAACATTTCATACTATGATAAAGTGTTTTTAACACAAACCCATGTTCTACGGATCAATAAATGAACACACATAGACAACTGTACAGTTATTCTTTTATTATTTGAAGGTTTCCCATTAAGTTTGTTAAGATTTGAGCCGTGATGAACACATGAGGGGACACAGATAATCAGTGAGGGTTGATTCAAATATATACATATGATTATATTAATGATGTGTTGTGATAGGCCTACGTGTAATCTATAGCACAGACAAGACGTGATAATATAAAACTGTGTGTTTCTTTATATTCAAAACGGATGCAGTTTGTATTATATAGGACGTTAACCCCATTCAGTCAAGTTCATTAACATTTGGGCCTGACTTTGTGTGTGTACCTGGTGGTGCTGATGCAAATGAACAGCTGTTTTAGCGTCACTTGCCAGCAGATGTCTAGCCAGTGTGTGTGTGTGTGCGAGTGTAAGACTTCAGAGAACCGTCTGTGGACTTTATTGGCAGAGCAGAATCAGATATTCTCCCTGCATCCAGCCAGACTCAATGGGTATCTGTGCCCAGACCGATGCCAGGACAGGTGTATGAGTGTCACATGATTGGTATATGAAGAGAGCTGTTGGCACCAAGTCTCCATGACGACACAGTCCCCCAGCCCTGCATGGCTTCCATCCCTATATGAGTCCTGAGCATTCTCAGATAGGAATAAAAAGCCATACGGGGCAAAGAGCAACATCTCTTTCAAGCATTTACACAATAACACAGCCTAATCTTTTTTGCCTATGCACAGAAAAACCTCTAGTGGACGAGTACAGTATTACAAGTCTGCCGTGCTCTTCTATCGCACTGCAATAGTCGTCACCACTACCGCTGTGACCATTACAGGACAATCTTTCCGATGCAACATCGACCAAAATAACGTCACATCCCTAAACTTTAAAAAATAGCGCTAGATTTCCCCTTGGGGACTAAAATGTCCCCGCCAAAGTGAGAAAAGAAACCTCAGTTTTTGTGAATAAAGTATTTAACATTTCCGTTATTGTATCAAACCGATGCATTTTGAGGTTGATGGCAACAGTCGATCCATTGATAATACAGACCTCCGGCACATGCACCTGTTGTCCAGCCATTGAGATGTCTGAGAGTAAAACGGGAAAACGCTGGCGAGTCTTTTCTCTCCAACCTAAACGCGCAACAGGAGGAGTAGGCTACAAACCGACAAGCCACTCTACCTAGGGAAAAAAAAACTTGTAAAATAGATCAAATACACGGTACATGGTTTAAAAGGACAACTATAAATCGCGATGAAGGTCGAGCTGTGTTCTTCGGCTGCTGGCGTGCAGCTCGGTGCGTAAAAACCAGCAGCGCAAGTCGTCACCGTGTCATACATGACATTAGGATGACCAACGCATGATGATGAAACGACTGGAAACGTCCGTGTGACATTCCTGCAACATTTCTGTTCACTACACACTGGCAGGCTACTATGGCAAGCTGCATTAACATTTATTTCATGAAACCTGTCTAGTTACAATTGCTTTTTTACTATTACAATTCCTTTTTAATATTGCAAATAGTAGACTACTAGGTTACTGAAACTAATTCACTTTAAATGTAAGACTAATCTTGCAATAAACATATTACTAGCAAGATTAAAAATGCTACTAGGCTAATGTCTCATAGGTGCTAGTATTTTAGGTTCTAGTCAAACTAGAATACATAGGGATAGTTACTACAACTACAAAATACCTACTACATAATGAATAGATAAAACTAGTAAAAGTGGAATCGGTACCGTCATCAATTGCAAGTACATACTAGTTAGAAAAAAACAGCTGATATTTGAACCACAAATCTTCATAGGTTTCAATTACAAGAAGTGTGTAATTTGTTACCAATGACAATGGTACATGTTACTCAGGACAGTGACAAATACAAAAAAAAATTACTAGTGACTAGTTTAATAGATTATAATCAGTAGCCTATAGGAATATGTTACAGCAGAACCTATGGAAAGAATAGTATTATTGATCAAATGTAGAATAAGGCAGTAGACTACTCACCATTAAATTAATTCCTAGTAATTAAACAATATGTATTAGCAATATAATAATGAATACTAATTGCTACAAATTCTAATTTTGTTTAATGTTAAAATTGCGTGCCATACAAGTACCTGCTTTTCTGTTTTAACAGTTTGACGTAGCCTCATTTTTCTCGAGTTTGCCCTGTAAGAGATAAGTGAGTCAGACAGAGCTAGACAGAGAAGCCCTTGATCGATAATATCAGTGACCGGATGAGAGGAGCCATGGCGCAGCAGTCTGACAGGAGAGAGATGATGAACTGCTCCAGACTCCGGAGGGGAGAAGTCTGCGATACAGAAGCGGCGGAGGAGAAAAGTTAGCGGAACGGCATTCCTCATTCCAAAGCATGGCTCGGAACACGTCATCCCGACCCAAATGCCCGTGTTTCCAGCTCCAGTGCCTCAGTTCGGATGATCGCGAATAGGTATCGGTATTCGGTAGTAGCGACTGTGAGCCAGCAGGTGGATGTCGCCTCGCCCAATCAGAGCGCCGCTTTCACGGGGCACAGCGGCGTCAGTCAGTCAGTCACTCAGCCGGTCGGAGTTTGAGCAGCGTTATGCTGTGCGCTCCTCCATTCACTCTCGCGCAGACAGCGGCGAGGGGGCCGCCGCGATGAGGGGTGGGGAGCGGACAGGCCCCCTCCCCCGGAGCCGGGGCGACCAATGGCAGGCGAGCAGCGAGAACAGAAAGGACATCATACCTGAGCACGAGACCAACCTCCGTGCGCGCGGGGGATTTTCCCCCCTCTTCTGTTACAGAAGCGCGTGTTAATAAAGGGCTGCGGCCGCTGAATAGGGCCTTTTTTAACCCTCTTTTCAAATACCGCCAGAAAGCAGTTTCTTTCTGCTTCTAATAGTACAGGAGAGACATTGGGAGTGGGAGAGCCGTAAAATATGCTTGTGTGTGTGTGGCTACTCTTCCTTCATCTTTCTCCTTCATTCTAATGAACACCTCACCAGGACATCCTGCACTTGCTCTGTCCCTCCCTCCCTCTTTGCTTTCTCCAATCTGTGTGTGTGGATCCCCTTTTTGTACTTTGTCAGGCGTCCGTTCCTGTTGGTTGTCCTAACAACACACTGTAGACTCGGGCCCTTGAGACAAAAGACAGCTCCAAGTGTCTACTGAGAGAAGAAGGGGGGGGGGGGCTTCCACTGGAGGGTTCACTGCCCCCCTTCTCTTCTCCAGCACATTCCAAAGCGTTTCCTCGCACCCTCTCACCCCTTGCCCCTCCACTGCTGTATCCCCCGAGTCGAGTGGGGCACATCACTGTGGAGCGGAGAGGGAGGGAGAAATGGGGTCGAAGGCGTTTTTTTGGAGGCAGAGGGTTTCTTTTCTTCAGGCGATAGCTTAGCCATTCAAGGCAAATGTCAAATGATGTCACTCTTCTTCCATTCGCTGTTGTTTTTGTTGTTTTGCATTGTGCCCGCAGAAAATAATAATTATGTTGGCACAGAGGCAGGAAGTGGCTGCCTTGTACTTCCATTGCCAATTGGGATAAACCTGATGCTTTTCTGAAGTGAGTGGTCTTAGGGTCTTAGACGGCAAAGAAAGAAAGAAAAAGAAAAAGAAAAAAAAGAAACAGAAGAAAAGAGAATTGTTGGGAAAGTTTAAAGTAAATCAAGGTATGCATCTTCCTAACTTTTATTAGGAATTTTATTATTTAGCACCACATTTTTAAGTAGCAGCTTAATTATTATACATGTTTTATGTGACATTTATAAGCCGTTTGAGAGCAATTTGTGCCTCTGAAGAAGAAAGAACAAACATCTTTAAAGGGATAGTTCACCGAAAAATTCTGTTATTCTCACCTTTCATGTTATTCCAAACCTGTATGACTTTCTTTCTTCTGCGGATGACAAAAAAGAGACATTTTGAAGAATCTTGGCAACCAAACAGTGATTTTGACTACGGACTTCTACGAATGACAAAAACAAATCAAAACAAAACAAAAAGAATATCTCTCAGAATATCTTCTATGTTGCTCAGGAGAAAGAAAGTCATACAGGCCTGGAATGACAATAGGGTGAGTAAATTATGATCATTTTCATTTTGGGGTGACATATCTCTGAAAGTAAAATGCAAGAAAACAAGAAATAATGCACACAAGAAAAACACTAAACAGTGGTTTCAAAAATAACAACAGCATAAATAAAGCCTGCAAACAGAAAAAAAAATCCTATAACACCAACTGCATAATTTATTCACACTGCAATGCATGCTGGGAGCTAGCAAACTAAACAAATCAGCAACATTCTCCAATAAGAAACTGTTTGTGCAGACAACTCTTGTTAGGCCAGTTGGATCAATA